ACTCCAGTAACCAATGTCCTGTACAGTTGCAACATGACCTCCCAACTCCAATACCCAATGCACTGACCAATAAAGGCAAGAATACTAAATGCCTTCTTCAATATCCTGTCTACCTGAAATTCCACTGTCAAGGAACCATGAATCTACACTCCAAGGTCTCCTTGTTCAGTAATGCTTCCCAGGACCCTATCATTAAGTATATAAGTTCTGCACTGATTTGCCTTTCCAAAATGCAGCATCTCACATTTATCTAAATTAAACTCCATCTGCCACTCCTCGGCCCATTGCTTCATCTGATCAAGATACTGTTGTACTCTATTGTTGTACTGTCCACTACACCTCCAATTTTGGTGTCATCTGCAAACTTACTAACCATAATTCCAAATCATTTATATAAATAACGAAAACTAGTGGACCCAGCACCAATCCTCGTGGCACACCGCTGGTCGCAGGCCCCCAGACTGAAAACGAACCCTTCACCATTTTCTGAAGTAGGGTCTAGGCCCGAAATGTCAGCCTTCCTGCTCCTCTGATGCTGCTTGGCCTGCTGTGTTCATCCAGCTCTACACCTTGTTATCCCCTTCACCACCACCTCCTGTCTTCTACCTTCGAGCTAGTTCTGTATCCAAGTGGCTAGTTCTCCCTCTATTCTGTGTGATTTATCTTGTTAACCAGTCTACCATGAGGAACCTTGTCAAACACCTTTACTGCAGTTTATATAGATCATGTTCACAGCTCTGCCCTCATCAATCCTCTTTGTTACTTCTCCAAAAAACTCAATCAAGTTAGTGAGACATGATTTCCCACGCACAGAGCCATGTTGACTATTCCTAATGAGTTCTTGCCTTTCCAATTACATGTAAATCTTGGTCCATAGCCTTGTATGCTGTGCCATTCCAAGTGTTCCTCTAAATAATTTTGAAATGCTTTGAGGGTTCCTGACTATACATTTTAAACAGTGAGCTCCAGATACTGACAACCTTCTGGGTGAAAAGAAAATTTGCTTAAATCCCCTTGAAAAGTCTTGCTCCTTGCCTTAAACTGTGTCCCCTGGTTATTGATCCTCTACTAAGGGGACACATTTCTCCCTTTTTGCCCAGTCCTTTGTATACCTCAGTTGGATCCCCCATCAGCTTTCAGAGCTTTAAGGAAAAGAACTCCAGGCTATTTAGTCTGTCTTCAAAGCTGAAAGACTCCATTCCAGAAAACGTCCTCTGCACCCGCTGCAGAGGATAAATCTCCTCTGCACCTTTTCTAAGGTAATCCCATCCTTCCTGTAGTGTGCTGGCCAGGCTGCTTGCAGAGCTCCAGCTGTGGCCCAACTAATATTGTATACAGCTCCACCATAACCTCCTTGCTCTTGTATTCTCATCAATGTGCTTTCATCAATGCCTTGTACAGTTGTAAAAGTAACATGACGTTCGAACACTCAGGCAGCCCAAAGACGATGAAGCAGGGATTCTTACTCCAGCCATAGTTCTGAAGACCTGTGCTCCAGAGTTTGCCAATCCCGTAGCCAAGCTGCTCCAGAGCAGTCACAACACTGGCATCTACTTGACAATGTGGAAAATTGCCCAGGTATGTCCTGTACTCTCAGGACAAATCCAACCTGGCTAATTACTACCCATCAGTCTACTCTCAGTCATCAATAAAATGATGGAAGGTGTCATCAACAGCGCTATCAAATGGCACCTGCTCAGCAATAACCTGCTCAATGATGCCCAGTTTGCATTTTGCCAAGGCCACTCAGCTCCTGACCTTATTATAACTTTGGTTCAAGAGCAAAAGAACTGAATTCCAGAGGTCAGGATAGAGTTATAGCTCTTGACATCAAGGCCACACTTGACTGAGTGTGGCATCAAGGAGCCTTGACAAAACTGGGTATCAGAGACAAGCTGTCTACGTTGGAGTCATACTTGGCACAAAGAATCTGATTGTGGTTGTTGGAGGTCAGTCATCTCAGCTCCGGGATATCTCTGCAGGAGTTCCTCAAGGTTGCGTCCTAGACCCAACCATCTTCAGCTGCTTCATCAATGACCTCCCCTCCATCATAAGGTCAGAAGCAGGGATGTTTGCCAATGATTGCACAATGTTCAGCAGTATTCATGACTCCTCAGATACTGAAGCAGGCTGTGTTCAAATGCAACAAGATCCAGACAATAGCCTGGCTTGGGCTGACAAGTGGCAAATAACATTCACGCCACACAAATTCAAGGCAATGACCATCACCAGTAACAGACAATTTAACGACCGCACCTTGACATTCAATAGCATTACCATCATTCAATACCCCAATAACAATATTGTTGGGGTTACCATTGACCAGAAGCTCAACTGGATTCACCACATAGGCACAGTCATCATAAGAGCAGGTCATAAGCTAGAAAAACTGTGGTGTGTAACTCACTTCCTGGCTTCCCAAAGCCTGACCATCATTTACAAGGTACAACTCAGGAGTGTGATGGAATGCTCCCCACTTGCCTGGATGAGTGCAGCTCCAACAACACTCAAGAAGCTTGACACCATCCAGGACAAAGCAGCCCGCTTGATTGGCACTACATCCACATACATCCACTCCCTCCACCACTGATGCTCAGTAGCAGCAGTGTGTATTATTTACGAGAAGTAATGCACAAATTCACCAAAGATCCTCAGACAGCACCTTCAAAATCCATGACCACTTCCATCTAGAAGGACAAGGGCAGCAGATACATGGGAACACCACCCCCTGTAAGTTCCCCTCCAAGCTACTCACCATCTTGACTTGGAAACATATCGCGATTCCTTCACTGTCGCTGGGTCAAAATCCTGGAATTCCCTCCTTAAGAGTATTGTGAGTCAACCTGTAGCAGGTGGACTGGAGCGATTCAAGAAGGCCACTCACCACCACCTTCTCAAGGGCTACTTGGGATGGGCAATAAATTCTGGCCAACAGTGATGCCCATGTCCCACGAATGAAAAAAAATTCCACTGATATTATGTCATTACAAACATGAAGGTAAATTAAGGGTAAATAGGGAAGTATTTACATGGAATGAGGCTGGTCGTTTACCTTGAGTTGAGGAATCCTTTGTCTGTCAGCTCCTTCTCTCCATGAGACTTCCTTCCCTGAAAGATACCCTTTTTCCAGAGATCTGGGTGCTTGTGTTCCCTCCCACAGGACAAAGTTCTGAGGAAGGGTCACTGGACCTGAAATGTTAACTCTGTTTTTTCCTTCACAGATGCTGCCAGACCCGCTGAGCTTTTCCAGCAACTCTGTTGTTGTTCCTGCTTGATTAGATTACTGCTTTCCAAATGTTTTGCTATTACTTCCTTAATAATTGACTTCAACATTTCTCCAACAATAGATGTTAGGCTAATTGGCCTATACTTGCTTTATGCCTCCATCCCTTTTTGAATAGGGGTGTCACGTTAGTTTTCCAATCACTGGTACTTCTCCAGAATCCAAGGATTTTTGCAAAATTACAACAGTTTCAGTTCCCTTGCTTAGAATCTTCATCAACCATCGTCACCTGCTCCATATTATTTTGTCTGCCTATTATTGCCCTGCAGATGATGTTGGTGATGAGCTACTTTCTTGAACCACTATAGTCCTTGGGGTGTAGATATACCCACAGTGCCAACAGGAAAGGAATTCCAAAGTTTTTTAACCCAACTACAATGGAGTAATGGCAATATAGTTCCAGGTCAGAATGACATGAGGCTTGGAGAAAAATCTGCACAGTGGTGATGTTCCAATGTGCCTACTGACCTTGTTCTTCTCAGTGGTAGAGTCGTGGGTTTGTAAGGTGAAATGAGAGCAATCAAAAATACTACAAAGGGTGAATTATGAAATGTTGGATGTTGTAATTATCTTGTTGAACTGTCAGCTCTTTGAATGGCTGTTGCTCTGTATCGTAAGAAATAAGTAAGCACTAAGATGAGAGAAATTATTTCATCCATCGTTGTTTTTCCATAAAAATACAGGGCGTTAGTTAACAAAACGGACCGATTCTAACAGCATGGCTTTGATTCCCACACTGGCTGAGGTCCCCTCAACTGGATGGGGACAGGCTGTGAAGGAGAGTGCTTCATAGCAATCTTCACAGTAACCTCAACATACTGTTGGCATCACTCTGTGTTGCAAACCAGCCATCCAGCCAGCTGAGCTAATTGATCTCCTAATACACCAGTAATCTACTCACCAATGTTTAGTTTGGGTTTTACAAAGATCACTTAGTTTCTCACCTCATTACAGCCATAGACAAACATATGTAAAAGAGTTATATTCCAGAGATCAGGTAAGACTTACAGCCTTTAGCATCAAGCATTTCATCAAGTATGGCATCAAGAATGAAGGGGAAATAATTGGGTGGCTTAGAATCATAGCCAGCATAAAGGAAGATGACTGTGATTGTTGGAGTCCAATCCTCTCAGTCCCAGAACATTGCTGCCTCCAGGCAGTAACCTCAGGCCAATCATTTACAGCTACTTCAGCAATGACTTTTCCTGCATCCTAGGTAAGCAGTTGGGATGTTTGGTAACAATTACGCAATGCTCAGTTTAGCTCATAACTCCAATGAAGTGGACTATATCCGCTCTTGGCAAGACGGGATAACATTCAATGGGGTGGGTTATCTCAGTCATCTGGATAGCTATTTTGTGATGCAGAGTGATACCAACAGATTGGGTTCAATTTCTGCAGTGGCTAAGACACCATGAGGGCCCCAATGTCTTAATCTTGACCCTCGCCTGAGGTGTTTTGACCCTCAGGTTAACGTCATCTCTATTGGAGCAGTCCTCCAGGCCTGTTGTGACTTACATTTCATGATATCTGGTGCCACTTGCCTATAAAGGTCATGCAATGATTATCTATCGTAAGAGAATCTATCTGCCTACATGAGACTTTCAATGGTATTTAAATAATCAAATGCCCATCATCAATAACCTGGGCATTGATATTTGCCAGAAACTCAACTGTACCAGACACATTTCTTTCTCTTTTCTTTCTTCATCTTTGCGGCTGGGTGGTGGCTGCAGCATCGGCGGCGTGGATCAGGACTCCTAGCAGCGGTGCCCAGCTCCTGGACTCTTTGTGGCGGTGCCCAGCTCCTGGACTCTTGGTGGCAGTGCCCAGCTCCTGGAAACTTGCTGGAGGTGCCCAGCTCCTGGAATCTTGGTGGCGGTGCCCAGCTCCTGGAATCTCGGTGGAGGTGCCCAGCTCCTGGAATCTTGGTGGCGGTGCCCAGCTCCTGGAATCTTGGTGGTGGTGCCCAGTGCCTGGACTCTTTGAGGCAGTACCCAGCTCCTGGACTCTTGGTGGCAGTGCCCAGCTCCTGGAATCTTGGTGGCGGTGCCCAGCTCCTGGACTCTTGGTGGCAGTGCCCAGCTCCTGGAATCTTGCTGGCGGTAGGCCTGGGGCCTGGTCTCTTGGCGGTGTCAGAAGGCAGCAGAGCCAGGGTCTCCTGAGGCATTAGCGTCGTTGTTGCTGTGCCTGGAGTGGGGATTCCATGAGGACCGGAACATCTTCCAAAGACCTTGCGAAGCCCTGGAGGCATGCTTGAGACACCAACTTGAACAGAAGATGAACTCTTACTTTAGTAATTTCTTTTTATTCTTTCTGTAGCTCAAGATTACACAGGATTATGGCGATAAAACGTGTTTCACTGTATCTTCAAGATATATGTGACAATACAAAATCATTCATAAAAACCATTCATAAATGTTGTGGCTATGGTGGAAGGTTAGAAGCTGCACACAAGTGACTTCCACAAGTGCACCGTTTACAAAGCATATTTCAGGAATGTGATGGAACACTCTCCACTTTCCTGCATGACAACAACACCCAAAAACCCAATGCAGAACGGGCTATTTGAAAGCACTGTAAATAAACAGTGCATATGCCGAGTTATAACGTTACTCATTGACACAGCATCAGACTCCTTTATATAGCTAGACCAGCTAGACCTGAGAGAGACGGGAAACTGATCCTCTCATTAAGGAGCAGAACACCAAGCGTGGACACTGTATGTGGGGTCACACAACCTGTTGGTGGGGTCACACACCCTTATAGCATCATCTGATGTGAATACGTGAAGATTTATTACAAAAACACCATTGCCCACCACTCTTACAAGTGAATAAAATCGAACAGCTTTAATAATTAAAAACCCAAGAGAAAATAAAAAAAAAGGAGACATTAAAATACAGTAAAATCTAAAACACACACTAAAACTCTTAAAACAAACCAAAATACGCAAGATTTAAAATTATTCTCAGAGCCTTTGGAGTTCACCATATCTTTAGCAATCGCTGAAGATTCACAACGTTTCAAGAGTTAATGAGACAGTTAACCTAAATAATTCCTGGGCGAAAGACCGAAGCCTTCAAATCCCGAGACATTCCATCACCTTATTATTTGTCGTCGCTCATTTTCCTCTCGCACCCATCACAAAACCGTAAAACTCGGGCACATCTCCCTTTGTTAATTCTCTAATCTTATCTGCCAGGTTCTCATGCTTGATTGTCTTCTCAACCCAGGCTTTTTCTAAGGCCCCTTCATCATTTTCAAATCTCACCGTTATATCCACAACAACCACCTCTGAATCTTTTTGAAAAATCAGATCCGGTTTCCACAAAATTACCTGCCTCATCCTTTATTTGAGGTTCTACCAAGGTTTTCCAACTGAACTTCCCCACGTATTGATATAATCCCTCCATAATCTTATTATACCTTTTGATCTGTGCCCTCTTCATAGCTGGACACCATCCAGAAATATGCGGTAGTGTCTCTCCTGTACATCGCATCTTCAGCATGTTTTAATGCTGAGAGGTCTTCCGTGAGTTAACATTGTTTTGGTTGGATATATATTGCATCGCAATAGCAAGATATTGATTACCTTTGATGTTTTCATGGTGGTTGCCATTTTGGTCCACGCATTTGATATCTTGTCGTTTCTAAAATATTTCACACCTAACCCTTGGCACTGTGAAGACATCCATCTAACCCAATCTGTTCCCCTCCAATCACTATCATTCGAGCTCAGCCTAGTCACCACCTCTGTCCTCTCCTCGACTTCCATTTCTCTCTTGAGATCCATATCCACCTCCCCTGGGGAGGAGATTTCTCACATAACTTTCAGTCGTTTTGTCGATTCCCCAATCGCATGGACATTACTTTGGTCACAAAACTGAAACGACGCGCATTTTATCCAGTGCCGCTCATTTTTTCAAAATAGCTATCAGGACTTGAACCTCCAGATGCAAAATCCCCAGCCCACCCTCTCTATTGCGAACATATAACACCCCATTAGATATATAACTAGGTAAATATACAATTTCTTTGATAAAACCCAGGGTAAAAGAGTCCAAACTATATCAAATATTTTGAGTCGCCTCGGCCAGAACCAAATGATAATGCAATCTGGGAATAAAATAAGTCCAAAAAATTTCGACTTTCTGCATTGGGTGGAGAGCCGATCCTCTCAGATTTTCTGCCCATTCTTTGAGTTTATTTTCCCACTCGGCCAACCTTATTCCTGTCCATGGATAAACTGGAGCACCAAGCTTGTTCTCCAACTGATCCGGGGTCATTATATTGAACAGCGCTCCCCCCGAGCCTCCATTCCTTCAAACGATTGTATAAAAATGTTTTACCTCTACATTCAAAGTGGTCTTCTTAACATTAGTCGCGACACCAGTGTTTTCACAGAAACGTTGCACAATTTTCAAGTTTTTAGTCATCCCTGAGTCGGATTCACTTACCAGTGAAATGTCGTCTGCAAACAGCATGGCTATGCATTGGACAGGCTCTCCATTCAGAGCCATCGTCATTCCCGATCCAATTTCCTCCAGTGCGCCTATCAAAGGATCCATGGCAATGTTAAACAACATGGGAGACAGAGGGTCCCCTTGTTTAACATCACGTCTTACTAATATATAACCCGTTTGAAAAGTGCTTCCCTTCATTACCATTGAATTACTCATAGATATATTCACTACCAATCTAATAAAGTCTTTCGGTAGGGACACTCTTTCTAAGGCCTTGGCAAGCAATTTAGGCTCAACCGAGTCAAATGCCCTCATCAAATCGACAGACAACCGCCAAATCCACCCCGTGTTTCTTAGCTCCCTTTCTGATATTCTGGAGAATCACTGTGTTCTCATTACATCCTGATGATCCCATCAGGAAGCCCTTCTGCCTTGGATCTAGCTTAACTACCCTGCTAAGCCTCTTCACCAAAATTCGAGTGAAGATACGTAGCAGAATAGGCCTGATGGCAATAGGTCGCCAATTATCGATATCTTTCAAACTTTCTTTATTGTCCGACTTCGGTATCGACACTATTCTACTGATCTTCAGAACATCAGGGACCACGCCTGCTCTGATCCACACAGTAAGCAAGCGTGGGAGACAAGTGATATCCTTCCGATGGATTTCTTGGACATCCCTCAGTCCCCAACCAAAAGGTCCCACAGCCGTTTTTGAATCTGCCTCCCTAATGGCCTCGTTTACCTCTTCACTACCAATCGGGTCCATCAAGCAATCAAATTGTCTGATGCCCCTGTACGGTGAAAATCTAGTTATATTAGCTTTGTCATTGGACACTGAAAGTTTTTCTGTAAATACTAAGAACAATGCTTCCCTACTAAGGGGCATAAACAGTTGGACAGCGCCCCCAACAAATCTCTTGCAAGCTGCCTCCTATTTGTTCTATATAACACTTGGGCTGCTCGGAAATTTGCTTTCCTCCTTGCAAACCATCTCTGCGTCCCATTGCCCTTCCCAACTCTAATCCTTCCTTTCAATCTATCATTTCCTTTCTGATTACTATCCTCCCTTCTAATTCCATTATCATCGTTATTACTACCATCACACTGCCCTTTCCCCTTCCTCCTGAACAATCTCCCTATGATGGTGTCAACCAATTGAAAATCTTCCTTTTCCTACTTGTTATTAAGACATTCCTCAGCCTTATCCAACAATTCCCCAATACTACATTGCTCTAGCTCCTGGGAATCAACCCTGTTCTGCACCCCTTGTGCATATCCCTGATCTAACATGACCTTATCATCAGTCCTTATATCCTTCACTTCTTCTTGGGAATCATCAGAAATGATCAGCACCTTTTCCGTATCCTTATTCTGAAGAAGAACTCTCAGCTGATCAGCGATTTGTTTTGGCGTTTTAGAAGTTAAAACACTCGCTACCTCTTTATTAATCTGCTTATCTCCTTTATATGCCCCTTCTAACTGAATCAATAATTTAATCTCTTCTTCTGACCAAATCCCTTTCCTTTTCCTCATATTTTTCCCATCTGTCTCCTTCCTAATAATCTTTATCTGTTTCTGGTTCCTTAACCCAGCATGTCTATGTCATTCATACTGTCTCAAACCTATCCTGGTACTGCACTTCAACTCACATATCAAACAATCGAACGTCTCATTAACATTCCCTTTAGTCTCTCCTTTACACTTTGAATAATGGCAGGCTATAGCATGATGCTCACGAAACCTTCCACACTTTGAGCATCTAGTCTGAATTGCTTTAACACTGTGCGCTATCGTTACACGAGAATGGAATGCCCTCATTATGGGGCATGTAAACTGATACTTATCACAAAAAAGCATATCAACAGGATACTGAAGCAATATCTCCACTCGACATTTTACTTTAGATGGTCAAACGATCCTAAAATTACCAGATGTGTCTCCACTCTCACCATCTCCGCGCTCTGATAGTGTATTGCCCCTATCTCTAAATTTACTGTTGTAAAAAACTTGTGTTGTAATCTCACCAAACGGGTGGGCTAACCTTGTTAGCTGTTTTTACAACTAAATTCTTCTCATCATCTCCCTACAGCCTGGCCTCATTAGCTTGCAGCTGGGGACCAAGATAGGGAGAGGAACGATGGCCCTCAAACTGTCCGTCTGTGTTGAAACGGATATCCTATTCTTATTGTGGCTACTACACTTTGCGCAAGCTACCACCACTAGTAAACTTGCAGGGTGGTTTTCTTTTTATATGGTCCCTGGCCCAACTGGATTTAGGGAGACTAGTGTCAACCATTCTATAGTTTTTCCACTGGCACCACTAATGGGCAGCACACTGGGCCTCATGGGTCGACAGCCATCTCGTAACTTTTCTCTGGTTGTATTTGCCGACAGGGTATTGAGTAAGACCTGTACCTCTGTCTGAAAGACTTCATCCCACCAGCCCCTTATAGGTGACCAGTTGAGGGTAGACCCAGCACTCAGATAAGACACAGGTGCCCTCATCCTCTGCCATTACCAGGGGGAATCACATGGAGGTTCGACCAAACACTGCAGGCGACAAGCTACGTAGAAACGCTGCAGCGGTAATTACGCAAGCAGGTTCGCTGGGAGGCCCCACCACAAACAAGCCATGGTTACAGCCCCCCAATCAGTATCTCATCTCCTCAGTCCCTCCACCACCAGCGCCTCGTGGTTTCAGTGTGTAGTATGCAGGAATGCAGCAGTTCACCGAGGCTTCACGAATGGCTGGTTGGTTAGATGCTAGATAGATAGACAGACAGAC